GGGGGGGGGGGGTATTTCAATTTGTTAGCTTGTTTAAGAAGGAAACTTTAACTCTAGTTAAAGAAGTTATTAGCATATTAGTGCTGCAATAGGGATTCACAGCCCCCTTATGGTAATATATGGTCAGTCAATAAGTAATAAGAAGCTTGTGTGTGGTAGAAATACCAATAAATTGATTAGCAAGTGGGAGAAGGAATAATTTGCACCAATGTGGCACATGAGAGTGTTGCATGAGAAGATGTGATCCCCGGGTGACGCTCCACACCAAAAATAAACATCTTCTATTCAAGAAGCGATTTGACATCTTCTCCATCTTTTATTTAAAATGAGACACTGCAGCGTTTGGAAGCCACTTCTAAGCGACTGCTGAGGATAAACAGTTTCAGTGTGAACAGACTGATAACTGCATCCTCTCCATTTCATTAAGAGTCAAATTTGATTTGTCAAAGTGCCCATATGGCACAAACATTTAAAGTGTAGACATAACCAGGGTTTGCTCCTGTTTACACACTTAACCACCCGTCCCCTGCCAAATCTACAAATTTTCACCATTCTAAAATGCACATTTGAGGGAATACAGCATTACTGAAACACACCCTTCAGCTGTTGAGAGAACTCTAAACAAATATAATGCCACTTTGCAACCACTAGAGGGTATCCCAAATGAGAACTTCAGATTTACAGTAAGATCTGTTTCTGCAATTCATTTGGAGGCAAGTTGATTTTATTTCTGCAACACCCGAAGACTGAGGTAAAAAACAACAACAACAAAAAAAACCCTATAATAAATGAAAATATGGTAAAGTTGACAATCATGCTCAGACTCTCCAATAACAAACTAAGGTGAGTAAATAAATTCACAATTTCAAGCAACCTATAGAAGAATAGTGACAGGCTAAAATAACATTACAAACATCTTTTACCGACATATCTGAAAATACATCGGCAGAAAAAAAAAAAGAATGTAAACTATATAAAATGTACATATTGTGAATCATACAGCTACTGGAGTCTTTCTATAAGACTCTCTTTGACAGGACTATTATGGAACAGAGCGAATGAATATGTAGTTTTTGCAATCAGCATTATTATTATTATTGTTTTAATAACGGAAACAGGAAAACTTCAGTGTATTTATGAAAAACAAATGAAAGCATTAAATGAGCAATAATACGAGACATACCTTTTGAGGCATGCCTTGACTTTATTTTGAATTCCGGGTAATAAGCACTTATACACTCCAAACACGTATTAACCCAAAATCCAAGCCGTGATTTTATTTCAAAAATAAAATGTCACCATGCCCCTGCTGGCGTTCATCCGCAAAACGAACTTGTCAATCTTGTATATTGGAACCAAGAACAAGCATGAAAAATCACAGAAAAGCGTTGAAAGCATGGCAACAAGTTCCCCTTAAGACGCTGCCAGTCCTATCTGAACTGACAAAGGTTTCTATATTTAAAAGATAAAATAAAAAAAAAATAAAAAAGAAAGAATAAATCTGCTTTTCAATTTGGTTTAAAGCGGTTACTTACCCTATGGTGCTTCAGGTGCTCACATTTAGCTTCGCTCTCCTATCAGGAACAGCACTGGCGAGAAATTGGCTGTCCGTCCGCGGCATCCAATCAACAATTTACGGCAGACCTTCCCCTAGATTGACCTCAGTCGGTGGGCGTAAACACCATCAGGGGTAAAGTCCCCCTCCTCTGTCGGGTCAGTGCTGCGGGGGTCTGACAGGAGATGGAGGACGATGGAAACAGTTTGAGGAGAGAAGAAGAAGACGAAGAGGAGAGGGGGGGTTCGTGTAGGTTTCACAGTTTCAGTTAAGAAATAAATCACAGAGCCAACTTGCGCTCACAGCAGACAGACTGTAATTCCATTGGTTCCGGTTGATATTAAGGGGCGGTGCCAAAACCAAATCGAGCCCAGTATTTATATTTCTGTTCTATCATTTTAACTGTGTGGTTTGCGCAATGTTGTTTTCTGCAATTGCTTATTTTAGTTTACAGCACAGGGTAATTTGATTAATAATGAATGCAGAGTAAGTTAAGTGCATAGTTTATTTATTTTTTTAATTTATTATTATTTTTTCCATTAATTCATATTCACCCAGCCCTAAGAAAGAAAATGGTGAACAGAAATCAGGGCTATAATATTACTATCCAGTGTTGGGTGGCATTACCAGTGTTGGTTACCAGTGTTGGGTGGTGTGTTGTTATATTCCAAGCTCCTATTAAAAAGTAATTAATTCTATTTCAATTTTATTTTATTTATAAAGCGTCAATTCACAATATTTGGCGCATGGTGTGTATTATAGATTATAGGTTAAAGACCCTAAGATATTAGAAAGAGAAGAAAACCTCAACAATAAAAGGCATTTGGAAGCATTTGGCAGCCATGGTGAAGATAAAACTAAGTTTTAACAAGAAGAAACCTTCAGCAGAACCAGGCTCAGTGAGGGGCAGCCATCCGCCATGACTGGTTGGAGGTGAAAGAGAGGTAGAGCAGCAAGAGACATGACAAAAAGCACTCTATGGAAGAGAGAGAGTTCAATCATTACTACAGTTTAAATGCAAATTTTGTGAAGAAACACAAAGAGATTGAAAAGAAATGCTTAGTCATGGGAAGTAAGCAGCAGTGGGATTCTTTACTGGTAAGAATAAGCTTGTTCATTTACCTCATGAGAAACAGCTTCAGCCAAACAAAAAGCTTCTCCTCAGCAGGCCTTGCAACCAGTGTAATGGAAATACTTGTAGGTACTTCTTCAAAATGTAAACCTCTTCAACAGCCGAGAGACATTTTTCATAACCTCAGCACAGAATGATGTGAATACACCCGTCCTCTCTGCCGTCACATTAGTTGACCTGACTGACACAATCATACCTTGCAGTAGTACTAAAGTCTATCTTTTCATATTGTATTTATTATTTATGTGTACCAAGGAGGCAGGGAGAGACAGAAATATTGCATTTTGTCTTTTGTCACAAGAAAAGAAATGTGGAAGCATATTTAACAGAACTCATCTGAAAATGTAACTAAAGCACAGATAACAGCATAATACCTGTTATAACAATAAAGTAATCTGAGTATTCAAATGCATTACTTTGGAACAGTGTTGAGTGTGCCACATTATACCAATACTAATACTGTATTCAGATGGAGAATCAGATAAGATCATCATATCATATATATCATTTAAATATAAACTAATAACATCTTCAGCCAACAAAAACAAATAACTACGAACAGTAACTTCCTTGAGGTTGCCACGACACCAAAGTGACCAGTCTGTGACCAGTCTGACTGACTGGTCACTTTGTTCCAAAAGGTCACAGCTCCTGGGCCAACTCCCTAAAAACGAAAAAAAAAATGCCAGTAGAATCCCATAAAAAAAGTGCCCAGTTTTAGAGCAGGACTAATTATGTTCGTTTTGTTTTAGCCTAATTATTATAGCTAATGTCTGCTTTTATTCCAAAAGGTGCGATCATGGCTCAAGAGTTGGGAGTTCGCCTTGTAATCGGAAGGTTGCCGGTTCGAGCCCCGGCTTGGACAGTCTCGGTCGTTGTGTCCTTGG